TTCAACGAGTAGTGGACTGATGGTAATATTTGAGTACAACTCTGATTGTGAAATCTCACATGCGCAGCAGCATTTTTCATGGTCAGTTTCTTGACATTTAATGGGACACATATATTCCATTTCAGGTTTCAGATTCACTTTGAATGAATTTTCTGTTACTGTATTAAAGGTAAAGGTAAATTTTGAGCCAAGAAAAAGAAGAAGATAGCATATGTTGATCTTCATAATTAAATTAACACGTTTATCTTAAACCTCGTAAATTTTAGTTAATGAGTGAACAAAAAAATTTGACGAGCTATTATATATATCGTAAAGAAATGTAGAATATTTTGTAAAACCCCCTTTGATTTTCTGACTAATAAACTAAATAAGTTATGTTACCTGTCCGTTTAATTTGTATAGTTCTTCGTGCAATAATTAGTAATTATACATGACATTAAAAGCATTAATCTTGATTGGAAGCAGCCAATAAGCTTACAGTATTAATTGACCTGTAACTATGTATTGTTGAATTTTAATATGCTAGAGATTGAAGACCTTCCTTATTGAACCATCATCCTAATATCGCACTTCTCAAAAAAAAATTTTTCTAATTAAAAAAAAAAAAGTTTCTCTTTTTAAGTGTTAGGTAGATCATTCCATGTTATTTAAAAGAGTTGAATCCATACCTTGTTGTCTCTACTGACATCGTAGTGCAATTAACATATCAATAATATTTGTTTGTTTCATTATACCCCCGCTTTAAAAAAGTGGGGTTATACTGTTTTACCTCTGTCTGTCCGTCTGTCCATCCATCCATCCATCCGTCCGTCCGTCCCATGAATATTTTTCGTCGCATCTTTCTCAGGAACTACATAACAAGGATTTTTGAAATTTGGTTTCAGGGTTTATATGAGTCACCTATACCGTGTGATGCGTTTTCAGATTCATCACTCAACAACTTCCTGTTTATCTTATACCGGTGCGGGGGTATCATTAGTGAGCAGTAGCTCACAGATTCACTTGTTTGAATTGGGACATGTAAATAAAATTGCCTCCGTTTATTGACAACGTTATATATTTTTATAGCAATAGTTTTGATTATTCTTATTTGAAAATGACAGTTTTAATTTATCAATCGTTCCTCATAAGCACTGCTTTGATCATTATAAATAAATTCTAACGCTCTTTCTTGTATTTGTTCCATCGTTTTATGTGTGTATTTTCGCTACAGAAGTGCAACAATTGATATAAGGGAGCTACCATTTGATTTTTAGGGGATGGAGGGTCCTGCCTTTTTTTTTACATAAATTGTCATCCTACCTTTTTTTATGCAAAGTGTCTCATCCTTCCTTTTTTTTACTCAAGACTCCTGTCCTGTCCTGTAAAATGTATTTCATCCTAGCCTCCCCCCATAAAAATCAAATGGTAGCTCCCTCACTGGACAGAAATTAATAAAAGGGGGGGGGGGTGTTCCAACTATATGTCCCCATTCAAATGCATTGATCGTCCAAAAAAAAGGGGGTTCCAACCCCCGGAACCCCCTGGATCCGCCACTGCTCTAACATACAATATGAAACAATGAAGCAAAGAAAACAAGCCAATATACAACTTATTGGGTCGACCACTGATGAAGCAGGACTTAGGGATTTTCCCCAAACACGGCAGAAACACCGATCCTAACATATACGTTCATGGGCGAGCTCGAATGCGTTTATTTGTAACATTGCATGTAGAGGAACTACACGAGCTGTTAACAATAGCTAACACTGTGCACCCGCACTAGATTTCACATACGAATTTTTACGCAATGAAATAATTTTCCTTGACACTGTCATATACAAAGGAGCAAGATTCTTAAACGAATGAACATAAGACATTATGTTTTGTGAAATCTCAATCCTCCCCCTATACCTCTAGCCAATGTATGTATTGTTTGTAATTTGTATATTGCATGTGTTGTAGGTCTTGTATGTATTATGTGTATTGTTTGTATTGTATGTCTTGTGTGTGTCGTATGTATTATGTGTATTGTTTGTATTGTATGTCTTGTGTGTGTCGTATGTATTATGTGTATTGTTTGTATTGTATGTCTTGTGTGTGTCGTATGTATTATGTGTATTGTTTGTATTGTATGTCTTGCGAGTGTCGTATGTATTGTATGTCTTGTGTGTATTGTATGTCTTGTGTTGTTGTATGTATTGTATGTCTTGTGTGTATTGTATGTCTTGTGTGTATCATATGTCATGTTTATATTGTGTCTTTTGTGTATTGTATGTCATGTTTATATGGTATGTCTTGTGTTTATTGTATGTCATGTTTGTATTGTATGTCTTGTGTGATTGTGTTTATTGTATGTAATGTGTTTATTGTATGTATTTTGTGTATTGCATGTTTTTTTTGTGTTGAATGTCTTATGTTGTTGTATGTATTGTATGTCTTGTGTGTGTTGCATGTATTGTATGTCTTGTGTGTGTCGTATGTTTTGTGTGTATTGTATGTCTTGTGTTTGTCGTATGTATTGTATGTCATGTTTATATTGTATGTCGTGTGATTGTGTTTATTGTATGTAATGTGTTTACTGTATGTATTGTGTATATTGCATTTTTTTTTGTGTTCAATGCCTTGTGTTGTTGTATGAATTGTATGTCTTGTGTGTATTGTATCAGTATATAATGCGTGTATTTTGTGTCTTGTGTGTTTTGAATGTCTTGTCTGTAGTGTAGTGTTGTGTGTATTGTATATATATTGTGGGTGTTTAATGTATTGTATGGCTCGAGTGTATTGTATATTTTGTGTGTATTTTGTGTATTGTAAGTCTTTTGTGTGTTGTATGTATTGTATGTGTTGTGTGTTGCATGTCTTGTTTGTATTGTATATCTTGTGTGTGTTGTATGTATTGTGTGTATTGTGTGTGTTGTATGTCCAGTGTGTAGTGTTGTTGTCTTGTATGTACTATGTGTATTATGTGTGTGTGTTGTATGTCTCGTGTGTATTGTATGTTTTGTGTATAGTAGGCCTTGTGTGTGAATTGTATGTTTTATGTGTAGAGTTGTGTGTATTGTACATATTATGTATGTTGTATGTATTGAATGTCTCGTGTGCATTGTATGTTTTGTGCGTATTTTATGTCTTGTGTGTGTTGTATGTCTAGTGGGTAGTGTTTTCTTGTGTGTGTTGTATGTCTTGTGGGTAGTGTTTTATGTATTTTGTGTATTGTATATATTGTATGTGTCGTGTGTATTGTATGTGTTGTCCAGTGTGTAGTGTTTTATGTACTGGATGTCTTGTGTGTAGCGTTGTGTGCATTCTATGTATTTTGTATATTGCATTTCTTGTGTGTGTTGTATGTCTTGTGTGTGTTTTATGTCTTGTGTGTAGTGTTGTATGTTTTATGTGTATTTTATGTCTTGTGTGTAGTGTTGTATGTTTTGTGTGTGTTGTATGTACTGTGTGTATTGTATGTAGTGTGTGTGTTGTATGTCTTGTGTATTGACTACTGTATGTAGTGTTTCATGTATTGTGTGTGTTGTATGTCTTGTGTGTATTGACTACTGTATCTCATGTCTCATTTATTCATGTCGGTTTTAAAAGCTCCAAAGAGTTTATGTTTGTATATCATCTAAGATTTGAATAGTAATCCTTGGTTATAAGTGGGTTTTCCTACTGAAGGTTGGTGATTCTCTCTGGGCACTCTGGCTTCCTCAAACATAGTGCTGAAGGTTGGTGATTCTCTCTGGGCATTCTGGCTTCCTCAATCATAGTGCTGAAGGTTGGTGGTTCTCTCTGGGCACCCTGGCTTCTCCAGTCATAGTGCTGCAAGTGGCAATCAGTCAACCTTTATGTTTTGAAAGGCATAACTCCAAATAGATTTGAAAACTGCCAATTTTTAAAATTTGTTGAAGCTCATGAAACTTATGATAAAAATCCATTATATGCTAATGATAACTGTAGGCATGAGTGTGCTTACAATGTTGGACAGATGGACATAACAGCTTAAGTATATGTCCTTTCGTCAAGTTGGATTTTGAATGAATAGTGGCAGTCACAAACAAAAATCACAATCAGTGTAGCAAGTAGGCTTCTTTAACATTGTTCATAGAATATGGTTTACAAATACTATGAAATAAAACAGAAAAAAGCTATCTTCCAGTGTAAAAATCAAACAAAACTGTTTTTTGTTGTGACCCCTTTTTTTTATTTGAAACTTGAAATTCTCATTATTGCACTGTGCATTAAGACATTACACAATCGTCCTAGATTATATTATATATGACATACGTTTACACTTTCCTCCGAATATTTCACATCCAATAATTCATAAATATCTTGTTTATAATAATAACGATTATATCACATATGTTGATAACATGAAGATCATAATTTTAAAGGAGAAGGTGTGAAATAGCCATTTTATTTTGTCCACTGGAATTTGAAAATCAATCTACCAAATAACATCCTTCAGAAATTCATAAGACATTATCTGTCTGATATTATTAATTATATTTTTGAATTTTGTCTTACAAATTGACATTAGGGCTTCAAAATTAAGTTTGAAACAGCAAAAGCTGCCAATATAGCTGTAATTAGAGATTCTATAGTAATATTTAGATATGAACAAACATTTTTCTCAAAACATGTTTTGCTACAAAATATTTTATACAAAGATGTATATGCGTGTAAAATATCTTTTTCGGCAAAGCTGTTGCTCATATCTAATTAGTCCAAAACTATGTGAGTGACAACACAAGTGACCTTTCTGCACTTAAGTTTCCTGGTCAAGGCAACTTGTTCATTTATCAAATAAATGAACATAGTTTTAAAAAGCTTGAATAAGTTTACTATTTTTGCAATTTTAGGGGCCAAATAATCAGTGGGAAATCTAGTAAACGAAAACAAAAGAAAATTCACTCTTCTTATGATAGAGCCCAGAAAGTCAAAAATAAAACAATGCCAGTGACGATACTGATCAAAAGTTATTTCTAAATAATAATTGTAAATTTTAAAGAAATTATTTGTAAAACCTTTGTTATTAGAAATATACATGCAAATGAACAATGTTTTATGTTCAGTATTTATCAAGATAATTGCATTAGAAGCTTGTGAAATTGAAATTTAAAAAATGCCAATCTTTGCTGCATATTGATAAAAAAAATTGGAAAAAAAATCATGTTCCAGAGAGGTATACAGCCAGTAGAAAAGTAAATTGAAGTTGGTACTCCAGGAATTTATTCGCATAGCAACATTTTAAACCAATTTTACATCAAGCTTCTATAGCCTGCTGTCTATTTACCAGAATTTTTTCCAGTGAATCCATAATTGATAGCGTCCTTGCTAAAATGGGACAAACATTGAGAAGATCTAGTTTTCAGTGTTTACAGGGGAGGTAATATTTTGTCACTAGATTTCCGACTGTAATGGCTCTTATCATCACACCTCCTCCTTTGTGTAAAATATAATATATTATTTCTTCTTGTTAACTTTTTAAAAAGTTTGAATGTTATAAATCTTTTTGATCTGGTACCTTCTGTCATGACTGTTATTATTTCTTTAATTATCTGATGTTTAAGGTGCATTTTTATCACTTGTTTTAATTAGTGTTTTTACAAAATTTTAATTTCAGCAAATTTATGTACTTAAAAGAAAAACATTTATATTCATTAAAGTAAATTATAGTACAACATTTCAGAATCACTACTAGCGCACATGTATCTTAAAAAATAAAAGAAGCCAAATTTGGTCTGGTTGGAATACACATAACAGTTTGTTCAATGTCATTTCCTATATATCATAATATCTTGAATAAGGCAGTATCATGATCTGTGCCTTGAAGTGTCTAACATCCCTTTGACACAGACTTCTTCATTTGAGAGCATGTTGAGTCAGAGGCCCATTTCACTAAATGGAATGTAACAAGGATTTCACAAAAAATATCACATTTTTAAATAAGACATAACATAAATAATTGGTTAATTTATTATAATCACTGTATCTGTCCAAAAGGACTATTTTACGATTTTTAAAGAAATTTGAATATGTAAAAAAAAATATATACTCCATATATTCTAGCTACCGTATTCAAATTTTGATTATTCTATACAAAATCTGGATTTCAGTTTCAATCTGATGACAAATCTGTATATATATATATATATAACAATACTGAACAAAATATTTCTATCATAAATTAAGTAACTTGAAAATTTATCATATTAAGTAAGAAAAAATAATTGACAGGATACAAACATGAAATTCCATTCCACGTCTGATACCCTAATCAATGTCTATTCAAAATAATGTGTTTACTTATAGAGGGGAAAAAATCTTTTAATTCAATAGTGTCCCAAAGTACAACGTATTAAATCTACATACATGTAAAACACCAATACTTCTACAACTAAAAAGTGTGGTTATTGTTTTTGATGTTTTGTTTAAGCAATTAGTACTTAAGATTTGTTTATAACATATAAATCTGACATTAGAGATATACTGTAATTTGAGCATCTATAGTACAATATTTATACAAGGTATCTTTGCATGAAGTTATAAATAAGAATAAACATACAAATAAATCACAATACTGTAAGCTGAAATCCAAGAACAAAAACGTTTTAACAGTACACATTAGGAGAAAAAAATTACAAACATAAAGGATAAAAAAAAACAATAAAAAATTATTTTAAAGAAACTAAAAAATTGTTCTGCATTAGGGCAGTCCATGAAGATCTTCTCTTGTGTATATAGCCTCTGTCACATTAAATATCCTCTGCTGAATATCAGCAGTCTTTCCTAAGTACTCCAAACCTTGGACCGGATCCTTGGCCTTTAATTTCTCTATAAAATGCTTCCTTGTTGGTAGGGTATAAACAGCTACATGGACCCCCTTTCGTATCAACCATGGGTGATGTTTAGACAATGTTGCATCATAAGCCTCCTTTGTAATGTGGGACATCTTCTCGTGTTCATCGGCTGCTTTTACGTCATGCATTAAACGTGATGTAAATTCTAGAGCACGGTGAAGACGTAATAATGTCCTAGATCCTGAAGCATTCTTTTTATTATCTGTTGTCTTATTGGCCACTTCATACTTGATCATTTTCTCAAATGTTTCATATTCAGCAGCTTCAGGAGATTTTCTATAGTCTCGTAAAATTCCAACCTTTTCTACCACATCTGAGTTCACAAAGCTGAACACGGAACCAAGAATATGGAACAACCTGCAAAACAATAATTGCAATTATTTTAAAGAAAATTAGGCAGTGTTCTCCCCTGGGCCTTTTAGCCTCATGGTAATGTAATGCTATATTTCTTCAATGTGATGCTATCTGAATTGGTTTTCTAATTGATTGTGTTATGGATGTGATGCTGTAATTTTTAGAAACAAGATGGTATTTCAAATTTCCCTGTTTAACAGGATGCTATATGAAATATTTGTGGAGAACACTGTAATAGGCTGTTGGTTTTTTAGATTGAATTGTTTCAAATTTTGTCATGTCTAGGCCTTCTGTAGCTGACTATATGGAATAGGTCTAGCTCATTGTTGGAAGGTTGTACGGTGACTTATAGTTGCTTATTTCTGCTTCATTTGGTCTCTCTTGGATAGTTTTCTCATTGGCAATCATACCACATAACCTCATTTTATAACAAGAGTTACTACGAATATGCCATTGATTTGACTATTCATTATAAATCATTCCGAATAAATTAGAATGGTCTCCCAATAAACAGATTGGGGAAGATCCCCATCAATGGGTATTGTACCCCAAAACAGGCATTGATCATTTTAGTTTGATAAAGAATTGAAAATTGGATTTGAAGATATTTGCCGCCATGGCACCAAGTCAATATGACTAAATTGCAATAAGGTAATACATTGACATATAAATTCACAAGGTTTTGTTTTTGGAGGTCATGGAATGATAATCACTTCAGCACCTGGTCAATTTGGCACCCAATATCAGTCAGTGGAATTACTGAAATAAGTGAATTTTAAATGATAATCACTCATTTAAATACATGTAGCAAATTAGAAATTCTGTGATTTTGCAGTTTTACCAAAGTTTTAAACACACAGGTTTAGATTATTTCTAATTATTTATAGTAAAATTGAAAAAAATGGACCTTTTGCTTCATTCAAGTAGCAAGGCTATGCCTATGATGCAATCAACCATCTGTAAATTCTAAATTTGTTGAAAAAATGCTATAATGAAGGCTTTACATAATGATCTTATACTTCTTAACAGATTTTTCCCAGCAGTGGAAGTATTTTTCCAGTAAAATTCAAGGTTTCAGCTTACAGATCATGTAATAAAATTTTGCTGTTCACTACCAAAATTTGAGTGTTTGTGGATGTTCAAATAAGTAGGCAGGGAAGGATTGTGCCTGATATTCATATGATGAAGACATAATCTTTCAATCAGTTTAATTGAAGTCTGGAGCTGGCATGTCAGTTAACTGCTAGTAGTCTGTTGTTATTTATGTATTATTGTCATTTTGTTTATTTTCTTTGGTTACATCTTCTGACATCAGACTCGGACTTCTCTTGAACTGAATTTTAATGTGCGTATTGTTATGCGTTTACTTTTCTACATTGGCTAGAGGTATAGGGGGAGGGTTGAGATCTCATAAACATGTTTAACCCCGCCGCATTTTTGCGCCTGTCCCAAGTCAGGAGCCTCTAGCCTTTGTTAGTCTTGTATTATTTTTAATTTTAGTTTCTTGTGTACAATTTGGAGTTTAGTATGGCGTTCATTATCACTGAACTAGTATATATATTTGTTTAGGGGCCAGCTGAAGGACGCCTCCGGGTGCGGGAATTTCTCGCTGCATTGAAGACCTGTTGGTGGCCTTCTGCTGTTGTCTGTTCTGTGGTCGGGTTGTTGTCTCTTTGACACATTCCCCATTTCCATTCTCAATTTTAGTAATTAAACAAGAGTGCACATGCTGAAATGTCTAGCCTGTTTTACTCACCATTGATTTTATGCTGAAAGTCTTAAAGATAAAAGTTTTACTACAAGTATCACATAAACTTAAAATTTAAAAAAATCCATGACAATGAGGTCACGCAGACATGCACACCATACAATTATTCCATGCACCAAATATAGTTGACCGCTTATGGTAATTGGAAAACAGACCAACACACAAAAACTTAATGTTAACCAATGAACCATGGAAATGAGGTCAAGGTCAGATGATACTGGCTAGACAGACATACATGTACACCTTACAATCATTCCATACACCAATTATAGTTGACCTATTGCTATTAGTGTTTGAAAAACAGACCAAAACACAAAAACTTAACACTGACCAATGAACCATGAAAATGAGGTCAAGGTCAGATGACACAAGCTAGACAGACATGTACATGTACATCTTACAATCATTGCATAAACCAAATATAGTTGACCCATTGCCATGATTGCTTACAGAACTTGAAAAACAGACCAAAACACAAAAAATTAACAATGACCAATGAACCATGAAAATGAGACAAAAAATAATACTAAAAGAAGTGATTTTTTGGAAGAAAATAGAGGTATGACACTTAAACAAGTGATTTTCATGTCATTATCCCAGATTAGGTACAGGATCATCACCTGACATGAACAGTCATCCTATAAACACAGATGTGGGTTCTGATAATTTTAGCATCCTAATTCGTCCCAGGATCAATAATATTATAAATTTAAAGCTACAATAAAATAAAATCACTTAATCTAGTGATTAATTTGTACTGATTAAATAGGTGATTAATAAAGAGAGACTATACTCTTACTTGCAACATTTCTTGACAAAATGTTACTTGAATAAAATTGAGAATGGAAATGGGGAATATGTCAAAGAGACAACAACCCGACCAAAGAGCAGACAACAGCCAAAGGCCACCAAAGGGTCTTCAAGGCAGCGAGAAAATCCGTCAGCCGGAGGTGGTCCTAAATAAAATTGTGTACTAGTTTAGTGAAAATGGACGTCACACTAAACTCCAAAACATATAACTGAACTAAAATTAAAAAAAACATACAAGACTAACAAAGGCCAGAGGCTCCTGACTTGGGACAGGCGCAAAAATGCGGCAGGTTGAACATGTTTTGTGAGATCTCAACCCTCCCCCTATACCTCTAGCCAATGTAGAATAAAGAAACACATAGCAATACGCACAGTAAAACTCAGTTCAAAAGAAGTCTGGAGTCCGATGTCAGAATAGGTAACAATAGAAACTAAGCAAAATGACAATGATACATAAATGAACAAAGGACTACTAGCAGTTACTGACATGCCAGCTCCAGACCTCAATTAAACTGATTGAAAGATTATGTCTTCATCATATGAAAATCAAGTACAATCCCTCCCATAAGGGGTTAAATATCATACCAAGATAAAATATATGAGAAGAACATAACCTGTATCATGCCAATAACTGGTTTTAGAATAAATGTGTTTATTTCCGATGCTAAGACCCTATGAGTGAATCAATATTAATACCAAAATATGCAATCCTTAATGACTTGACAACAGTATCGTAACTATATCCTTTCCGAATAAGTCTGTTTAAAGGTTTGGTTAGCTTTTGAGGTGAATGCCGACATTTTTGTGCTTTGTAAAGAATATTACCATAAAATATTGGATGTGAAATACCCGAACGTATAAGATGTCTGCATGTTAATTTATATTTACGAATGATGTCCTTGTACCGATGATAAAATTTAGTAAATGTTTTTACTAGTTTGTGATATCGAAAACCCTGGTGTAATAATTTTTCAGTAATACAGAGATTTCTGATTTAAGAAATCACTCATTTAAGTAATTCACCTGACTTAATATAGTCAAATTGGGACTTGGTTAATTTCGGCACCTGAGGTAGTTATTTCCGCACCAAAAATTAACATAATGTTTTGCAAGTAAACTATAGACTTTTTTCCATATATTTTTTTATAATATTTTCACTAGAGGTGTCAACGTATGTCAGTTCCGCCAGGAACATATATATATATACTGTCCCCAGGTTCTGCATACATTTTTTTGTAACAGTGCCATTACATGTACATCTATTCCTATTGGAACTTATACTGTAAAGGAACTTCTATTTCAGGACAACTGCATATTGCTAGTAAACATAAAAAATTGGTGCCAGGTGGCAGGTGCCAATTCGGCTTTTTATAAAGGTGCTGAATTGTCCAGGTGCTGATTTGACTTGTACCCTGCTTGTACTTTTACTTGGTCATGGGGGCGGTGTGGAAATAGTCTGCAAAAAAAAAAAAATCATATGAATGAAGATGGAATTGGATAATCTTGTTCTAAATGTTTCCGACAAGCCAAACTTCTGGAAAATCCAAATTAGTACCAATGACTCATGCATGCCGTTGGCATGTCAATTAATGAATAATTTATTGGACTTCAAAGTGTCTGTAAAAATACAGCCTTGACGACTCGAATAATTTACTTTGATAATTCTTCGTATGCATTCACATATTCGTCCATATCAATCGTGTCGTCATCTTTTATACAGCTATGGAACAACTTATAAAGTCGTTCGATATCAAAACTGTCATGCGATGCCATTTGTTGTATCCGTAAACAAAGCAAGAGAATCTTGATTAGCAACAGTTAAAAAATGTAATTTAAAACGTTGTCACGATGGTAAAGTAAACAAGATATGGCAAGTTTGTTTCTTATCAGAATATCTTTAGGTATTACTATATACTATTTAAGTTATAAATAGAAACCTGTAACAATCAACCTTTATTAAACGAAATTACAAAAAATAATATCATGCAATGCGTTTGGTTTTCTTTTTCTTTTTCTTTTTGTTTTGTTTTTTGTCTTGTTTTCTTTTTAGTGTGTTTATTTCTTGTCTTGATTTTTGTCAAGTACATTTTTTTTACTGATATGAGGACGTTGTTATTTTATATTGTATAAAAGTAAAAATTTATAGTAGTTATCTTTTATGATTCTAGCAAATTACAATCTGCTCAGAACTTCATTTGATTCAAACTAATTTTGGAACATTCACGGTTAAATAATTCCGGACGTATCATGCCTTCAGCTTCCAAGAAAAGTAGATGCAAAAGCTGAACTATCTCCCAAATTGATAACATAAAGTTTACTATTGGGAAATGACAGAAATTCGGGTGACACCATTAGGTAATTTATGTTATCATTACACTATGTACCAATCAAATGTCACAGCTTTCTCTGTTTCTTTGGTCCAAACAAAATAATAAATGATAATGCCAGTCAGGAGTATATTACCTATACATGTTTGTGAACCTATGGATACCTATGCATCTTCAAAACTTTGGTACTGTAGTAATGCTCTACTTAGTTAGTCCACCTTTTTGTGTTCTTGTGGTTGTGTGTAGTCCAAATATTTATGACTCTTGATTTTAATTTTTTTGCTGTGAGGCCTGGAAGGACATGAAGGAAGGCCTGGCAGCAAAAAAATTAAATACTTAAATAGCCATTCAAGGCATCATAATTATTTGGACTAGGTTGTGCGCTGACTTTGAATGCAGGAGGTTGATGGGCTGGTGGGTCTATGGTAATTCCTTTTGGGATTCTGTGTCTGGAGCCATTTTCTGATTTGGCGAGAGCAGCTACATCATAAAATTGCTCAGGACATAGAATCCCAAAAGGCATGAAAGGGATTAGGCGAGTTGATTTAGGAAAGTATTTCTTAATCTCATCAACATCATATGTTTAAGCAGCTAGAAGGCCAAGATTTTATCAATTCTAATGTTCAAAGGTGTTTAAAGTTTTTGTTGAGATAACCTCCACAGGGCAGCTTTTCCAGATGTCAACAACTCTGTTCGTAAAAAAATTCTATTTGAGATCTAGACAACTAATTGCAGATAAACAAATGTAGTTACTTTTACAAATTTATAGCAGAGTGTTCAAAATTTAACTATGAAGAGTGGAAAAATAGTGTATTGCACAAGATTTTGGACATGTTGGAGTTGAATCTATTTCTCTAATGATTTTTGAGAAAATTATCTTTCTTTGAATGCATTAAAATTCTAAAATAGAACAAATAACCTCAGCACACATCATCCTTATCTGGACCACTGTACTGCTTCCAGGGATGATATAGAAGTGTTATACCCTGCCAAGTCTTACCTATAGCATGTATAGATACAAAAATGTAAACCTGTATCCACTGTTCTCCAATCAGTGTTACTTTTCAGCCACATTAATTCAAATTAAGGAAAACCATTGAAAAATTAAATGCCAGATTGGAAATGTTATGTTGCATCTGTCTCATTATACAATGTATAACATTTAAACTATATGTTTTGTACACATAAATATAAATTTATTATTTCATTTTTTCTTACAGGTGCAGGGCAGGGTAAGTATGTGCTATACAAAAACTGAATGAGCTGTACATAGTCAATGGTAGTGTAAATATCAAGCAAGAGAATATAAATACGTATAAAATCATGACAATTAAACATGCCATGCTACTTATAATTTATGGTTTAAACAAAATACAAAAGCAATACATGTATTAAAGACAGAGATGACCTTAGTTTATTTATTTGATGATAATAAATTATTTTTGACTGTAGATTATTCATGGGATTTATCTTCTCACTTCTAAGAATACTACAAAATTAGACACCACAAAAAATCCTAATATGGTACATTTGACACACAAACAAATACTGATATATGGTACATTTGAAATGTTTTGTCTGGAATTGATGTCACAAAAATAGAGCCATACATGACAGAGGTGCCTTTTTAACTGTCAAAATCATCATGATCATTATTTATGTGTAAATGATGCTTTTTCTTAAAAGGCATTATAGAATAAAGGCCAATGATAAACTGTAGATTTATTTGTGATACGGATGAGTTAACATCTTTACATCAACCCAAGTCAAGTAGAATACAAAATAATATACCTCCCTCGGAAACAAAAATGGTGACTAAACTTTTGACGTTACAAAAATTTATTGATTTAAAAAAGAAGTCCATATGAAAGACTATTGAATATCATGAATATGTTGCATAAATATGAAACTATTCTCATTACTATTTTGTCTTGTTTTGTCTAAAGATGTTGGTAGGAGCTGTATATTGGTGACAATTGGTGGTAAAAATATCATGATGGACTGTGGTATGCACATGGGTTACAACGATGATGTGAGTACATACAGGTTTATTTCATAACAAGCTTGAAGTGCTATTTGATTTTTGCTGAAAGAGAATGTAACAGAAGCTTCCATGATCTCCCTTTATATTGGATAACCAAATATGCTATCAAACATATAACTACCACTTTTACTTAATATAGAAAGTTATACTAAAAATTCACCAAGACAGTTTTGATAAATCCTATTAAAAGCCAATTGCCTATAACCAAACAACAGATACACATAAGATATCATTCATGACACTTACAGATGTGAACGGACTGATCTGACATTCAAGTAAAAGTAACGTTTTCTGGATACCTTCTTACTTAATGCTAGCGCAGTCACGAAATAACCAAATAAACCCAGGTTCTTTACATAAACAATGAAGACCAGTTCTGCCCTGGACACCTTGTCACACTAGGGGACAAGTGTCTACAACAACCGACATAACGGACAATTCTCTGGGAGGACAAAGCTAATACTTGACCGGGAAATGATTATGACAAGTATAATCCAGCATTCTAGGAAGGGAAGTCTTAAAGAAATAATACCTAAATTATCATATTTATTTCATACCAAAATACACAATAAATATTCTTATATTATGACAGTAAGTTGTACAACAATACAGAAGTTAAATAAAGGGGGAAAATGTATTACTTTAAGTAGGGCTTTTAAATTGTACCATTTGAACCATTTTAGTCCCAAATCCTAACGTTTAAACCCTAATTAGTGCCAACACATTTAATAGACGAAGTGGTCCAGAACAGTAATAGTAAACAGCATGGCTGTAATGACAACTGATAATTACCTTCGAGGAAAGTATGAATTCTGGACAATGTATTAAATGTGAATTCAGTATATAATTAATAACAAAATGACTTAACAAATGGTACTTTCTTAAAATAAGATTTGCAATTTAACCAACACAATCTTACCTTTAACTATTAATAACCGGTTTAGAAAAGGAGTACAGTTATTGTGTACATAAACACAGGTGAAAGTTTTCATGTAAACAATAGTAATTATATAAAATGTAAATATGCTTAAACTTAAAAGGGAGCTAATAAATTACTCTTAATTCCAATATTGCCACACAGACATCAAACATGGCCAACACCTTTTTGTCTTCAAATAATATTATGCTTGTGCAAGAAGATTTTGCCTTTCAGATTGCTAACAGCCAATCACTTTTTGAATGAATTCCTTCATTTCTGATCAATTGGTAAAATATATATTTCAGCTTATTGCAAGTGTTATATATGTGGTTGTTTAAATAAAGCAAATACAATTTTCTAAAAAAAATCTCTTAAACTCTATAACTGTCTGCCTGATTCAATGGAGGAGTATCTAAATATGCATGCACACAAGGATTAAAAAGTTTGACTTCAAATTGAAACAGATTCATATAGTTGTGACAAGAAATTTCATTATATTATTAAAATTACTTCAAAATACAAATGTACCTGCTTTGATTAGAGACAAAAACGTGATCAAACATTGTTGAAACAAAAGATTTGATTTTAATTAGCATAAGTAAATTATCCATTACGATAATGATGCAAGCTATACCTTTTACTCTGATGCTATGCAAAAACTTTTAAATTATTTGTAACTAGACCTGTTATATTTACAGAGAAGGTTTCCTGATTTTTCCTACATTACAAAGACAGATGATGAGAAGTTAACTGATCATCTAGACTGTGTTATTATAACGTAAGCAGATATTGACTAAGATAATATATATCTGCATATAAGTTGTATGTTGACTCTTGGATGCTGATTTACATGACTTAAAAAAAACAACAAATCTTTAAAGTTGTTTCAGATCCTAAAGTCATGCTAGGAGTCAATTTGGTCAAAGAAATCATCTAACTTCCCTATTTCTTTTATTTCGTGTTGGAACAAGGATAGTGTTTTATTTTGATTACTCTTAATAATCAGTGATTTTCCAACCTTTTTTTAAATGGGGCCTGGGCTCTAGGCAATTAGGAAAAATGTGTCATGTCCTGTGTGAATTAGTAAGAAATATATCAATGTTTTCATCATATTTTGATAAGGTTATTTATAAGAATTCTAATTTTCTATCATGTTCCAATTTGAACATATCAACAAGTTTATCAAGGTTCTCAGGTTCCAGAGCCGTCTCTGCAAATCCTAATAATGGCATCCAAATTCTTTGTCTACTCGAACGCGACTGACCCAAAAATCATGCGGAGTCAAATTCTTTTTTTGGTTAAAATCTTTTTTTTTTAATTTTCAGAATTTTAAAGATACGATTTTTCTGTTCTAACTATTATTTTACAAAACAAATCACTTCTGCACTTTCATCTTCTCTAGTATCAAGTTTTTGTTTCAAAACTCTTTGGTGATACTGATTTGAAACCATGCGTGGTGGCAGAAATTTATTCACACTGTCCTGGTTGAAAAGTATTTAGATCCAAAAATAAGCTTGTCTCAGAAGAGCTTAAACAGTACGCTCATTAAAATAAGTGTTTTGTAAACACAGAAGATGTTAAACAACAGAAATGTGAAAACTGATAGTCACAAAACATTGAGTTCAGTAGAAAGAAACTACTTTTCCAGTGTTTCTGCTTGTTGATTCATAAGAACATCTGCAAATTTGGATGAAGGTTCCACTCAACCTCAGATGAGATCAATAATCAGAACAATCTTAAACACAGGACTATTTTTTCTTTAGTGGGACTTGTAAAAATATCTGATATTTTGGTGGGGTGTGAAATATGTGAGATTGCTCACTAAAGGTTTTATTGTTTCTGATGCTTGGTTGATAATGGTGAACAGCTTATTTTCTCATGATTAATATTTTTTTTTTACCCAGGCTTTTGTAGAATTGAAGAGTTTTCTTGAGCATCTGTCAATACAGACATCCATTTATCCATCTATCAATTTATTCCTTTATTTTGATCATTTACATATCATTTACAAAATGATTATTTTTTTGTCGAGCCTGCGACTTTTGTCGCAGAAAGCTCGACATAGGGATAGCGATCCGGCGGCGGCTACGGCGGCGGCGGCGGCGTTAGCTAACTTCTTAAAAGCTTTATATTTTAGAAGATGGAAGACCTGGATGCTTCATACTTTGTATATGAATGCCTCATGTTACGAAGTTTCCGTCAGTCACATGTCCAATGTCCTTGACCTCATTTTCATGGTTCAGTGACTACTTGAAAAAAAAGTTCAGATTTTTTGTAATGTTAAATTCTCTCTTATTATAAGTAATAGGATAACTATATTTGGTATGTGCGTACCTTGCAAGGTCCTCATGCCCGTCAGACAGTTTTCCCTTGACCTCGACCTCATTTCATGGATCAGTGAACAAGGTTAAGTTTTCGTGGTCAAGTCCATATCTCAGATACTATAAGCAATAGGTCTAGTATATTCGGTGTATGGAAGGACTGTAAGGTGTACATGTCCAACTGGCAGGTGTCATCTGACCTTGACCTCATTTTCATGGTTCAGTGGTTATAGTTAAGTTTTTGTGTTTTGGTCTGTTTTTCTTATACTGTATGCAATAGGTCTACTATATTTGGTGTATGGAATGATTGTAAGGTGTACATGTCTAGCTGGCAGGTGTCATCTGACCTTGACCTCATTTTCATGGTTCAGTGGTCAAAGTTAAGTTTTTGAGTTTTGGTCTTTCTTTCTAATACTGCATGCAATAGGTCAGCTATATTTGGTGTATGGAATGATTGTAAGGTGTACATGTCTAGCTGGCAGGAGTCATCTTACCTTGACCTCATTTTCATGGTTCAGTGGTCAAAGTTAAGTTTTTGAGTTTTGGTCTTTTTTTCTAATACTATATGCAATAGTTCAACTATATTTGGTGTATGGAAATATTTTATGATCTATATGTCAGTTACGCAGGTTTTATTTGACCTTGACCTCATTTTCAAGGTTCATTGCTCAGTGTTAAGTTTTTGTGTTTTCGTCTGTTTTTCTTAAACTATAAGCAATAGGTCAACTGTATTTGTTGTATGGAAGAATTGTTAGCTGTACATGCCTGCCTAGCATGGTTCATCTGACCTTGACCTCATTTTCATGGTTCATTGGTCAATGTTTAGTTTACTTGGTTAATGTTAAGTTTATGTGACAGTTGTAATAAAGCTTTATATTTAGGACTATCAACATAATATCAATGATTAGTAAAGAAGGCGAGACATTTCAGCGTGTGCACTCTTGTTTATATTTGTAGTCATTTTCATTTGGACCACTGTGGTGCTTTGCCATACATGTCTGAAATGGTGGGATTTGATGGACCAATCTACATGACACATCCAACTAAAGCCATCTGTCCTATATTATTGGTATGTACAATGTTAGATAACTCTTATAGATAAATTGAATTGAATTATATATACACTTTTTGAAGAAGTAATTGAAAATTATATACTGTTAATTCAGGAAATGTCGCACAAAAATAAAAATTCACATTTTGAATTTTTGATAGAATTATTTGTATGCACCATTTCCTATCGTAGAAAATCGTAGTAATAAATACCATGATACGTGCAAAATTTTCTGCATCTTCTTGTTCGTGTTGTTTTTATATAAATCAGATTTGGATAATGCTAAGTTAAATTTTTGGTAAAACAATGATGATTTCAAGAGTTGGGTTATACATGTTATAGAATCTTGATGCAGCTTGGGATTCATCTGCTAAGAAAATTGTGAGTCTGGTCTAGTTTACATGAGCCAAGAATGTGTAGTTTTAAAGTGCACACCTAACAAAATAATGAAAAACACCTACATTTCATTATATTTGGAGAAGTGGTTTTAAAAATGGAAACTCCTTGAAAAATGAATGGCATGTCAGCTTAATTTACCAGATAAGGTTTCTATGGAGTACTTCTGGCGTTGCAGTCATAAAACATGTAAAATTTTTGAGTACGTTTATTGTACTCAGACTCAGAAATCAACCGATCAAAAAACTGGATTTGGGATTTCAAGCACAAATTTTGTACTCTTAGTCCTGAGTAAAGTTTGATGATAGAAAGCCCAAATTGTTCATTTTTTCACATGGATAAGAAGAAAAGAAATTAATATAGAACTTTGTCACCAACATTTAAAAATGTTTAAAGAGATATATTTTTTAATTTTTTAGGAAGACTACAGGAAAATAACAGTAGAGAGGAAAGGGGAAACTAACTTTTTTACGTCAGAAATGATCAAGCAGTGTATGAAGAAAACTGTAGCTGTCAACCTACACGAAGTTATAAAGGTATTTTCTGTTGAATAAAAGGATTTTGGGAGAAACATCAGTGATTCTGCATTTCAGCAGGAAAATATTAAATTAAACGATGAAGATTAATAATCTAAAATCATTACTGCCTACGCCTTCACTTTTGGGTAATTTTCCATATCTTTTATTTACATTTTTCTTATCTTTTTTTTATATATCAATCATAAAGCCTCAGCATTCAATTTCCCCAAACTTTTATATGTCATTACCAAAAAAGTATGATGCCAATGAAATAATAGGAATAAAATTGGTATCTGAAATAAAAAGAATAAAATTGGTATCATTTCCATGTCAACTGCTTAAAGCCTCATAAAGAAGAGAAATCTGAAATAAAAAAAACAACTTTTTTACTCTGCCTCATATTCAATTTTACATTACCAAAATAACTGGAAAAGAATGTGAATTGAATCAATGTTGTGAAGAGTTTTGACATTGTCTTGAAAGTCACTTGTTCACATCTTTTTATCTATTGAAAACTAAAATAAAAGACATTTAAAATCAACGATTAATTCTTGTGCTTCTATTTTTCTTTCTTGAAGGTTGATGATGAGTTAGAAATAAAAGCATATTATGCAGGACATGTTTTAGGGGCAGCAATGTTCCAAGTGAGAGTTGGTCAACAGTCCATGGTATATACAGTAAGTATAAGCTTTGACCTTGAAGGTTTCACTATGACTTTGAAATGAAAAAATAGCAATAAAAGTGCTGCTCCTTTCTGAAAGCCCTTTGTTTAACTTAGAGTAAGACACTTTCAATGTGTTGATTTTACTACACTTGTTAATGTTTAAGGCACTTTCAATGTGTTGATTTTACTACACTTGTTAATGTTTAAGGCACTTTCAATGTGTTGATTTTACTACACTTGTTGATGTTTGAGTGTACACATGCATTTCTGTGATATAATTTTTTCACCTGAAACAACTTTGACAACTTAGGTCAACGATATTTGGTATACAGTTGTATAAGCATTGGCATATCTCATTTCCATGGAGATTATTTGGCCCCGCCCCCTCAGTCATGGTCTATTGACTGAAACTTTTGCTTAGTTTTCATGTATTAGTTTGTGATTAGGTCAGTTTAAGGGGAACTGTTAGTGGTAGGTCAATGATAATTGGTATGCAGTTGTATAAGCATTAGCACATCTCATTTCCATGGAGAATATTTGGTCCTTACCACTCAGTCATGATCTATTGACTTTGAAACTTTTGCTTAGTTTACATGTATAAGTTTGTGATTAGATCAGTTTAAGATGAACCACTAACGTTAAGTCAATGATATTTGGTATGCAAATGTATTGGCATTTGCAAGTTTCATTTCCATGGAGATTGTTTAGCCCTGTACCTTCAATCATGGTTCATTGACTTTGAATATTTGCATAACTTACATGTTAAAGTATTGCTATTTTAATTTCAACATTTGCATTATCAAAATAACAAATAGCCGAGACATATCTCTGTGTTAACAGTTTATTTTATCATTTTTTATACGACTGCAAAAAAATTTTTGGGATCGTATAATGGTATGATGTCGTCGTCGTCTGCGTTGTCGTCTGCGTCTGTGTCGTCGTCGTAAGACACATTGGTTTCCGGACAATAACTTTAGTTTAAGTAAATGGATCTCTATGAAATTTTTTAAGAAGGTTCAATACCACAAAAGGAAGATTGGGATTGATTTTGGGGATGATGGTCCCAACCGTTTAGGAATTAGGGGCCCAAAAAGGGGCCCAAAACAAGCAATTTTCTAGTTTCAGGATATTAACTTGTGTATAAGTATTTCGATTGCTCTGAAATTGTACCGTAATGTTTAATACCACAAGTAGAAGGTTGGGATTCATTTTAGAGGTTATGGGGCCAACAGTTAAGGAATTAAGGGCCAAAAAGGGGCCAAAAACCAGCATTTTTCTAGTTTCCAGACATTAACTTGTGTGTAAGTGTATGGATCTCTCTGACATTGTACTACAAGGTTCCATACTACAAAGGAAAGGCTGGGATTGAGTTTTGGGGTTATTGCTCCAAGGGGGGGGGGGGGTTCAAAAAGTTGGGGGGGGGGGGGTTTCCTTATTTTTTTAAGGGATTCATTTTTTTGTTTTCAAAATTTTTAAAACTTCGAATTTTTGAAAAGTTTCAAGAAGAAATCTTCAATTGCACAGTATTACATTCTAGGTGACACAGAGGTTTTAATTTATTTCATTGACTTGTCTTGGGCAGACATAATATTTGCTAATACTTTGGCTATTGAACAGACTTTATTTGAATTTTAAGTGATCTGGTCAGAATTGTATTAATTAAGCTGAAAGGAGGATTAAAAAAAAAAATAGAAAAATTCCATAATTGAATATACTCCAAATCTAATTAAAACTTAGTTTTATTTAAATTCTCACAGAGATATTTTATCATTGATAAAATATATGTATATGTTTTCAGGGTGATTATAATATGACCCCAGATCGACATCTTGGTGCCGCCTGGATTGATAAATGTCGGCCAGATTTACTTATCACAGAATCTACCTATGCTACAACAATACGAGATTCAAAGCGATGTCGAGAGAGAGATTTCCTGAAGAAAGTACATTCTTGTGTGGAGAAAGGGGGAAAGGTACTTTTACTGATATTTACAGATTGTATTTGGAAAATTTCAGCTATCTAATAAATATAAAAATAAGGAGATGTTGTATGATTGCCAATGATACAACTATATACCAGAGTTCTAATGAAGTGGATGAGAGCAATTATAGGCAACTAAATGGCCTTCAACAATGAGAAAAATCCATACCATATAGTATGCTATAATAATGTTTTCAATATAGCGTTGAATGCTGTTTTTTTTAAATTTATACAGAATAAAGCATTTTCATAGAGTGTGGAAATGTAATAGTCACTTGCCCTCATTTAAAAAACACAGCGTTCATATTGAAGGATCTTGAAATAAAATATATTTTAAACGTTTTGAGTCTGAAATAAAACTTTTAAGAACAAAGCTTCGACAGAAGTTGTGAAATTTGATGAAAACAGTGCCATAATGAAGATTTCAAAGTAGATAGCTCATAAAATATCAAATTCAATAATTATTATACATCTATATCACAGGATATTTTATTGTTACATATTTCTATTAATTCTTCATATTTACAATATATAAAATATGCAATTTAAGTACACAGACATTGTGTAAAAATACTGTTAATTTATTAGTTGGGAGGAGACTTAAATTCTATAATCATAAACATAGGAAACATGACGGAATTAAATAATTCATCTTTCAACCAATAAAAGAACAACAGTTGTATGAATTGAACACCCTCTGTTAATATTAACAAATGCAACAAACTCAAAAGTATAAAAAATCAATGTGGACAGTAATAGCTCTGACTTGGTGTAGGACATTATAACTGCACAAGGGTGCCTCGATGGCAAAGTGGTCTCAGTTGTTCATCTTCTGTATCACTAGATGGTAAACACTGAGGTTGGGAGTTCAAGCCTTGCTCTATCACTAGCCTGTTAACAGTGAGGTTGGTAGTTCAAGCCTTGCTCTATCATTAGCCTGTTAACAGTGAGGTTTGGAGTTCAAGCCTTGCTCTATCACTAGCCTGTTAACAGTGAGTTTGGGAGTTCAAGCATTGCTCTATCATTAGCCTGTTAACAGTGAGGTTTGGAGTTCAAGCCTTGCTCTATCACTAGCCTGTTAACACTGAGGTCGGGAGTTTAAGCCTTGCTCTATCACTAGCCTGTTAACACTGAGGTTGGGAGTTCAAGCTTTGCTCTATCACTAGCCTGTTAACACTGAGGTTGGGAGTTCAATCCTTGCTCTATCACTAGCCTGTTAACGGTGAGGTTGGGAGTTCAAGCCTTGCTCTATCACTAGCCTGTTTATGATGTGGTTGGGAGTTCAAGCCTTGCTCTATCACTAGCCTGTTTACACTAAGGTAGGGAGTTCAAGCTTTGCTCTATCACTAGCCTGTCAACACTGAGGTTGGGAGTTTAAGCCTTGCTCTATCACTAGCCTGTCAACACTGAGGTTGGGAGTTCAAGCCTTGCTCTATCACCAGCCTGTTAACACTGAGGTTGGGAGTTCAAGCCTTTCTCTATCACTAGGCTGTTAACACTGAGGTTGGGAGTTCAAGCCTTGCTCTATCACTAGCCTGTTAACGGTGAAGTTGGGAGTTCAAGCCTTGCTCTAACACTAGCCTGTTAAAGAAGAGGTTGGGAATTCAAGCCTTTCTCTATCACTAGCCTTTTAACCCTGATGTTTTGAGTTCAAGCCTTGCTCTATCACTAGACTGTTAACGCTGAGGTTGGGAGTTCAAGCCTTGCTCTAAACCTAGCCTGTTAAAGAAGAGGTTGGGAATTCAAGCCTTTCTCTATCACTAACCTGTTAACACTGAGGTTGGGAGTTCAAGCCTTGCTCTATCACTAGCTTGTTAACGGTGAGGTCTGGAGTTCAAGCCTTGCTCTATCACTAGCCTATTAGAGCTGAGGTTGGGAGTTCAAGCCTTGCTCTATCACTAGCCTTTTAACGATGATGTTTGGAGTTCAAGCCTTGCTCTATCACTAGCCTGTTAACGCTGAGGTTGGGAGTTCAAGCCTTGCTTTAGGACACTTAGCCTTTTAACGCTGATGATGGGAGTTCAAGCCTTGCTCAAGGAGTTTGACTCCTATCTTAATTGACGAGGAGTGCCAATTTTCTGCTACTGGTCACTGTTTCTCTCCAGATACCTTCCTCCACCAATAAAAGCTGTCCACCACAATATAGCCAAGCATGCTTAAAGTGGTGTTAAACACCATAAATCTTTAAACATGTAATGGCATAAAAACACTGCATGGTGATAAAACATGATGTGATAGATATCAGGAAAATAATATTGAAAGTATTGAAATGTATACTTAATAGATGATCTATGTAAAGTAAGTTTAGTTTGTCATCCTGGTGGCTTTTTATTTCCAGGTTTTGATTCCAGTATTTGCATTAGGAAGAGCTCAAGAGTTATGTATATTGTTAGAGAGTTACTGGGAAAGAATGAACTTAAAAGTACCCATTTATTTCTCATTGGGTTTGACAGAAAAGGTATGTTTATATAATATGCACATTGTCTGTGAAAAAACTAGATGCACAAAATGTGAAAAAAAACCATATCATATGTAGATATTTAATTTTCATTGAATTCTCTAACATTCAGTATTTTAATAGTTCCTAAAAAATCACCAAAAAATGGTTGATAGTTGATACAGTTTTCCTTACCTAGTTTTCCTTACCTTTTATACTGATATATAGAGTTTAATAAGTGCTTTTCCTGAATTGTTTTTATTATGAAAATAAGGAGATGTGGTATGATTACCAATGAGACAACTATTTACCAGAGTTCAAATGACATAGATTTAAGCAATAATAGGTCATCATAGGCTTCAACAGTGAGAAAAACCCATAACATATAGTCAGCTATGAAAGACCTTGATATGAAAAATATGAAACAAATTAAAAAGAAAAAACTAACGGCCAAATTTATAACGATACAATTTACAAAAAACAAATATGACAGACATGAAGCAACAACAACCACTGAATTACAGGCTCCTGACTTGGGACAGACACATATTAATGTGGCGTTGATAAAGATGTTTGTGAATGCTCAACCATCCCCTAACCATTGTATGTTTATTTTCTATACTTTATGATATTCCACGGATTGAGATCTCTACCTTTTTAAACTGGATAAACTGCCTTGGGATTAAAAGATTCCTTACGTTTTAGAGGTCACTGGGTCAAAGGTTAGGTTGCTGCAGCAATTTATAGACCTAATTTCGTTTTTGCTTTACAGTCCTCATCCCCGAACTATATGACAAAAAACAATAGACATAAAACATTGTTTTTTCTAGTACAGATAAAAATTAATCTCAATTTGGTTTATGCACAAATGTTGCTTCTGTTATATATCATGATTATGTTTATTAATATTTTCAAGCTCCACATGCAGATTGAGTATTTAACTTACATTTGAAAAAACAAAAACAAACAAACAAAAAAACAAACTTACATTTGACAGAATACATTTTTTAAACAGAATCACTGTAAAAAATATGTTGTATAATTTTGAGTGAGGTATTACTGTACTAATTTCGACAGATTGGGAAAAGGCAAAATGAAAACTTTTTTTAATGAAAGAAATTTTTTTTAATTTTGTATTTTCTAGGCAAATCATTATTACAAGCTATTCATTACATGGACGAGTTAATTTTGTATTTTCTAGGCAAATCATTATTACAAGCTATTCATTACATGGACGAGTTATTTTTGTATTTTCTAGGCAAATCATTATTACAAGCTATTCATTACATGGACGAGTTATTTTTGTATTTTCTAGGCAAATCATTATTACAAGCTATTCATTACATGGACGAGTTAATTTTGTATTTTCTAGGCAAATCATTATTACAAGCTATTCATTACATGGACGAGTTAATTTTGTATTTTCTAGGCAAATCATTATTACAAGCTATTCATTACATGGACAAGTTATTTTTGTATTTTATAGGCAAATCATTATTACAAGCTATTCATTACATGGACGAGTTATTTTTGTATTTTCTAGGCAAATCATTATTACAAGCTATTCATTACATGGACAAGTTATTTTTGTATTTTCTAGGCAAATCATTATTACAAGCTATTCATTACATGGACAAGTTAATTTTGTATTTTCTAGGCAAATCATTATTACAAGCTATTCATTACATGGACAAGTTAATTTTGTATTTTCTAGGCAAATCATTATTACAAGCTATTCATTACATGGACGAGTTATTTTTGTATTTTCTAGGCAAATCATTATTACAAGCTATTCATTACATGGACGAGTCAGAAGATCAAGAAAACATTTGTACACAGAAATATGTTTGAATTTAAACACATTAAGGTAAAATACAATTATTACAACACAAAGAAGATTAAATCCATTTCCACTTAATGAATAAATGAAAGATTGTATTTAGGAGACAATTAGATGTTAGAAATTGTTGATAAAATCATGTATAGTATTGGCTGATGATGTCATCATGTTACCAGTATACTTTAAATAAGAAAAATAAGTCATTGGTTTTCACATGACTGATAAGGATGGCATGTATTCTGGTTATAGAAGGTGATGTTGGGAACACATCACTGAGACATGGTGAACACATCACTGAGACAAATGGAACATATCAGTGAGACATTGGGAACACATCATTGAGACATGGTGAACACATCACTGAGACATTGGGAACTCATCATACACCTTATCGCTATTTGTCCGCCATTACTGGACATCACAAAGGTTCCCGTAAAATTTTGACATCACAATAGAAAATATCTGACGTCACAATGAAAAAGTGATTGTTGTATGACGTCAATAGTTCAAGTGGCGCAGATTTCAAATAGGGATAAGGTCTATTTGAGACATGGTGAACACATCACTGAGACATGGGGAACACAGCATTAAGACATGGGGAACACATCACTGAGACATAGGGAACACATCAGTGAAACAAGGGGGAACACACCAGTGAGATAAGGGGAACACATCACTGAGACATTGGGAACACATCAGTGAGACATGGGGGAACATACCACTGAGACATGGGGAACACATCAGTGAGGACACATTAGTGAGACATGGGGAACACATCAGTGAGACAGAAAAACAACAACACAGTAAAACTGATCCCTACATTTTTTTTTACACAATTTCAGATCTCATGATGATAAGGTATTTTGTAATTGTCATGATTTTAATTATCTGTTTCAGAGTTTTCATACTTTATTTGATTAAAAATTCTTCATTTTTGTCTCATGTTTTGATGATAAGTTAAGTTTGGATTGACCAATTAAAAAAACATTCGCACAAAATAAGAATTAAGGAAGTTATGTTGATTTTTCTACCAAACAATTTGGAATTTTATAAGTGAACATTTTTAGGCATGAATTTAAAATTGCAGGATAAAAAACAATATACAGACATTGTTTGAATATATCAAAGATATTTTTACTTGCTACAAAACAGGAAAAAAGCTCTGCTTACCTCAATTTTCTTCCAGTCTCTTAAGCTTGTACAATTACATTTTACAGATTCTGTCAATGTATATATATTGTATGTATTTTTCAAAATTTTAAAAACAGTTGAAATTTGTATCTGAAAAATGCAATGTTACTATTACTTTAGGAAGGATGTGTGATGACCTGGCACAGGTGTATAACTTAATGATGATCTTTCTCATTAGGCTTTCTCTTTTTCAGCCATTTGACAGGGCCTACATAGAGAACCCAGGACCAATGGTAGTATTTGCCACTCCTGGAATGTTGCATGCTGGTCTTTCACTACAAGTATTTAAAAAATGGGCTCCAAACCCTAACAATATGGTAAGAACTGTAGAAAGAAAAAGTTCATTGATTAATTATAATATCACTATAGCACCAGAGATTTAAGGGAGGTTAAGGTGGGTGTGAAGGGATCTTTACTTAAGCCACCACAACTCTGCACTTTGTATCCACTACTCATCTTTAGTGACCAGATTTGAGTTTAATGTTTCCTGTTGCAAAACACAGAGTTATAGATTCTTGTTAAAAAAAATTCTAATGTAACACTGAGATTCCATTTTGTTATAATTAATTTTAAACAAAATCCCATTTGTTTCCCAGTATGAACAAAAGTGGAGGTTGGGTAAATGTCGCTGAGATTGCTATTAAATTTGGTTCAGCCTGAAAAGAGGCAATACTAGTGGAAGTGGTGTTAAACTACTATCATTTAATCAATTGATCATAATAATTTTAATTTGAATTTGATTTAGATTATAATGCCAGGATACTGTGTGGCAGGCACTGTCGGCCATAAGATTTTGAATGGTGCTAAGAGACTGGAAATGGAAAATAAACAAACTGTAAGTACACTTCAATCTTAACTATACTTTCCAACAAGGAAGTAGTGTCAAAAATAATCCTGAAATATTGTTTGTCTGTTTTACCATTATCAGCACCTCTTCTGTCATAATTTTCTTCATTTTAACATCAAGCTTTTCTGGATTCCTGCAAGCTTCAGATCTGTGGACTGACTTAACCCGTGCAGAAAATAATTTATCTTGAAATAAACTATAATAATAAACAAAAAATTGTGTACGGATAGAGATTTTCAGTATTCATATTCTTGAAGGAATAGTCTCCTGATGCCCTAGTCCTGTTATGACGTTTGTGTATATGTATGTGTCAAAGATCATGTTATAGAATATAAATAAGGAGATGTGTTATGATTGTCAATGAGACAACTACACATATCCACCAGAGACCAAATGATCTTGATGTAAACAATTATAGGGCACCGTACAGCCTTCAACAATCAACATAAACCATACCGTACAGTGAGCTTTAAAAAGCCGTTGGATGACAAAATGTTAGCAATTCAAAAGAGAAAAATTAACAGCCTGATTTATGCCTAAAACAATAAAAGAAAAACATTTTGTCATCAATTAACCTTGTACATAAATTCCAATTACATTAGAGTATGAGAATGTTAGGTTACATGTTGTGGATTTTGTTTTTCCAGTTAGAATTAAAGTTGAGTGTTCAGTACATGTCATTTAGTGCACATGCAGATGCTAAAGGTATAATGTTGTGGATTTTTTTTCAGTTAGAAGTAAAGTTGAGTGTCCAGTACATGTCATTTAGTGCACATGCAGATGCTAAAGGTATAATGCAGCTGATATCATGGTGTGAACCCAAAAATGTCATGCTGGTCCATGGAGAGGCTGAGAAAATGGACTTCTTAAAAAGCAAGATCCAGCACCAGTTTGGTAAGAATTTTTTACAGTCTGTCAACATTGCGTGTTCAAATTTATTGTGTGAACTTTTTACTTTAAGACATTAGCATCATTCTATGATGTGTTTTGTATACTGTTGTTTGTCTTTTCGTAATTTTTTTGGTTTCTGCCATGGCTTTGTCAATTTGTTTTCGACTGATGAGTTTGAATGTCCCTTTGGTATCTTTCACCTTTCTTTCACTCTATTATTGTTGATCAAACATTTGCTAATGTTTAACAACATCAGTAAGTATGAAATTGTAAACTAAATTATTTTTCATGGATACTTATTTTTAGCGTTTAACCCTTTCTAGTCGAGTTATTTATTTTCAAGATTTTTCTAATTTCTCGATGTATTTCTATAAGTGCAGGCCCAAATTTTACACATTCTTTAAGATTTATTTTTTGCGTTATTTTTCTACTTTCGAAAGTCAGGAAAATAAATAACCTGTATATGAACTAATAATAGACTCTATTATTGTAGGCATTGATTGTTTCAAACCAGCCAATGGAGAAACAGCAGTCATTCACACAAAGCATAATATACCAGTAGACGTTTCTTTGCCTTTACTCAAAAGGGAGGCTTCAAAATTAGGTAATTATTAATGGTAACAGTCTGTGATGGTCATCGGTTATACTTGATATGGAGAGTTTTGATGATTATCAGTTAGATGCGAGAACAAAAGTTATTATGTCATTCAAAGGGCTTAAACAAAACAACCGTCTAAAGTTACTATTTTAATGAGAAAAGTGCAGCCCTAGTGTTTTTACAACTCTGTAATAAATTAAAGGAAAATTTATTGCCAGAATCGATAAAGGTTTTCACACAAGTTATATCTTATTAGTATGTACAATGAGCATAACAATAGATGTTAAATACAGCAATATTTATTGGGCCTCTGTCATCTCGTTGGCAGAGTGGTCTTAAGTAGTTCATCTTGGTGATAACTAGCCTGTCAACTCTGATGATGTGAGTTGAAACCCTGATCTTGGCAAAGTGTTTAATTCCCATCTTAATTGATAATGATTGCCAGTTTTCTTGCTGAAGATCATGGTCCTCTCGTGGTACTCTTCTGAAATAGAGAAGTGTGCTGAAAGTGTTTAAAACACCAACACACAAACAAACAAACATAAATATATCTGTTCCATGAAAGAATTTAACAACTGCTCTTTTCTTTTAATATTCTGTCATTTTCATAAACATATTTTTGTAATTCCTTCAGGATCTTTACCACCAGATCCAAAAAGACCAAAGATATTTCATGGTGCCCTAGTAATGAAAGGAACAGTATGTATAAGTTAATGCCAATATTTAGGATGTCATTGTATAACTGTCTATATGTGTATTGCTAATATTTATTTACATAAGGTCGGGTATATATGAACTTCAGAGTTCATCAAAATTATGGAAAAAATGGAGATAGGTCCTTTTACTTGATTTTGAGATACAATGAAACCTGTATATAACGGTCACCCTCGGGACCAGATAAAACTGACCTTATAAGAGAGGTAATCTTTGAATTGAGGTTCAAAATGCATAGATATTACGACTCAAGTAAGATCTACGGTACTATAGTTCCAGCTTTTATAACAAATACATATGCTTGTGTATTCTTGGGCAAAAAAAGTATATAAGAATAAGTTGCTAGTTGACACGTGGACAGTTGATGTAAATTTAGTCAACAAAATTAAATGATTTCATCACACTAGAAAAATACTTTAGTGGTAACAATTAACAAGTAGACAGTAGACAGTTGACAAGTAGACAGTTGACAGTTTGACAGTTGACAAATAGACAGTTGACAGTTGACAAGTAGACAGTTGACAGTTTGACAGTTGACAAGTAGACAGTTTGACAGTTGACAAGTAGATGGTTTCCAGTTGACAAGTAGACGGTCAACAGGTAACAAATTCTATGAAAAGAAATGATTAAATTAAATTTATACCACAGATAGACATCAACAGGTCAACAGTTGACCAATAATGGCCATGTATCTATGTTGACCTTTCAATCTGTTGACCTGTCGACATACATGTATGTACATATAAACTAATTTACCATTTATTCTTCCAATTGAACTACAATCCCATATATCCTACTTGACCCGATATTACTACAGTAGGACATAAATAAGGTTACTTCACATGACAGGTTGTTTGCTTAATAGAAGTGACCTTTATAGCAAGTTTCATTAAATAATTATTTGAAGAATAAGAATATTTGGTTGGAAAAAAATTATCTTTGATTTATCACATGAGATGGATTATAAAAAGATCATATTAAACTGTATAAAGATGAAGTAAACATAACCAAAACCTCTAATCAGAATGGAATCGTATTTGAGGTGTTAAATACTAAAATGTTGAGATTTAATGGGTTTGCTAGACACATATTTTTTAATAAAATGCATAGAAAAAGCCATATCTATTATAGGGTGGTTTACAAATTTGACCTTTTTGTTTCAGAAACTTCAATTAATTGATCCAGGATTAGCATTGAAGGATTTAGGATTAGAGGAACACAATCTCAGATTTACATCAACAGTCATGTTGGACGAGGAAGGACAGACGACACAAACAGCAGATAGAATATACCAACTTGTTAAAACGTAAGAAATACACTTGTCTTATTTTCAATTAACAGGAATTTTTATCTCTTTTTATTGTTAAGTACAAAAAGATGTGGGTTATAGGTCAATCAGATACCAACCTAAAGACACAAATATCTAAAAGACATGTAGAGGTCAACATACAGTTTTTATTTTGCACTTTTAGAATCTTCAACAAAGGTTTTTTATTGGGATGAGCATTAGCTAGATATCTGATTTCCTTATACGGTGGTAAAAATAGCATAAAATATTTGTATAAAGGTTATTTTATTCATAATTAGAAGAGCTGGATTATACATATTTTGTTTTATACTGTGGATTCATTATTATCATCCTTCCCTACCGCTATATCAGCTTCCTCAACATATCTGTAAAACTCGTATACACTTAGCGCGTGCAAGTGAGGAGACATTGTCAAGTGAGCAGGACTTATCAAAAAATTCTCCCAACATATTGCCTTGTATTGTAATGGTGATAAGTCACCAAATAAATTCTTTTAATAAAATAAATTACACTTGCAGTACATATTTTACAATGAACCATTTCTTTTTTCCTAAAATTACTTTACATTCTGAAACGAGATGTTGATAAAATGGTGTCGACGGCAGTCTTGATAAGTTCTGCCGGGACTACTTTTTTTCAGAACTGAACTATTTGACCTAATTTGAACTATTGATCTGACCTGTATTGAGATCAATCTATCGATACAAATGTGAACAATGCGGGGGTGGCAGTTTAAATTATTAAAAATATTTATAGTGAACATAAAATTCACAGTAAAACTTATAATAAAAATTGATTAATTAAATGCACATATATTATACACTCTAGATTAAACATTTCATTTTAAATGATAAAATAGGGGAAAAAATCTACCACAAAACAACAACCCTCTTTCTGACAAGCCTAAAATACTTATTTCCTCTGCTAAAACAAAACAAAAACAAACATACAAAATGGCTACTGACAAAGATAATGCTTTTGAAGACCAATCAAACAGACATTTTTTACTTCAATTCGGGGGAAATTCAGCAAATGAAAGTCAAAGTCAAACTGAGTGCATGTACAGATACATGTATCACTTATGTCAAATTATTTGAGCCTGAATTACATATACCAAGTTTTCTCAAATTGCTTGTAAAACAAAGAAAAATAATTGTTTCATAAAAAAAAGCACACATACAACAATTTATCATCATGTTCACTGCATATTAAATTGGTATCCTGAAAAATTCCACAAAAAGTCACAATTTAATGTTTTTGTTGTGAAAAATGGTGTAAATCATATATATTGGCTATATCTGTATATGTACATTGATAATTCGCATGAAATAGACTGAAGAGGGCAAAATATTAAATGATTAATACATGTAAAACAAGTTAAGATTCCATTTATAGTATTTACTGTTTCAGTGTAACTAAGTTAGGATTTGAACCTAAGAACTTCTCATAAAGAGATGCTCTGACCCCTGAGCTACCTAGTTGAATACACTGAAAGCATAATTTTTTTCAAGAATCATAAACATGATGTACCTTGTCATTTTAACTCCAAGTCATCAAAAGAATGATATATCAATGTACATGGACAAACAGAATGCAGCGAAGCAATTTTGTATATTTCAAAAATCCAGGTGATCTGGTTCTGTTATTTGTCAATACAGTACAGAAGAAAATATCTGACGGAAAATTTTGACATGTTTGAACCAAATATGTTTTCCTCAATGATAACATTTGGCAAAGCACTTATAGGAAATGGTACCCCATAACCTTAACCAGAATATCATCCCAATGCAATTTGGTGGGGTAGTCGTTACAAAAATAACACCTACCTTCCTTGTCTTCTCACGTACAAATGGCGGGTACAAGGTGCGAGATGTCGAGGTATTTACATACAAAAGGACAATTTACCAACATCTGTCTTTCTCAAATTAACTTCTCCTTTACGAATTACGACTACTTAAATATATATGTGTACTTTTAGTCTTGAAAACAAACAGCATTTTGATGTGTTTCTGGAATTTTTTTATGAAGCGTATGCTGTTCAGCAGTCAGCGAGTAGAAATTTTCTTCTTCTGGTGATATGAAATACTACGATCTTTCAATATAATCTTTAATATTTCTTTTTTTTTTGTATCATCTTCAAATATTATACTCTCATATATGCATTATCATGTACACGAAACATTTTTCCTCCTCTAGTTAATGGGAATATTTTACCCTGCGTATTTTGGCCACAAGGTGTATCCGCAGTTTAATTTTTTGATGACGTGTGTTGCCTAGTAATAACAGAGTCACTCTGGTAATAACAATTCCCGCGAAATTTTTGAAAAAGGAAATTTTGATAAAAGACATTGCTTTGAAAGATAATAAAAATGTTATCTGAATGTGGATTGTATATATAGATATTGAAAAATATCAGCCCCCTCGACAGAATATGAAGCTAAATGGCTCGTTCGCTACGCTCACTCGACATTTAGCTTCATATTCTGGCTCACGGGCTGATATTTTTCTATATCTACATATCCACATCCAGATAACATGTACTTATTGGTTTGATACCAATTTTCGTGGATTTCGTGGTTACTCTTGAACCACAAATTCCAATATATATGGAATTACACATTTTCTATAAGAATGTATGCAGACTTCAGCAAAACCACGAAATCAAATATCCACGAAAATGCAAGTTTTCCTCAATCCATGAAAATTGGTACCAACAAAAATAAATGAATCCACAGTAGATTCTTTTTGTCTGAAGTGTCAATCTAGCAAAATTTGTCCTTGACTTAATTTTCATGGTTCAGTGACTGCATTAAACTAAAATGCAGTGCAAAACAAAAAATATAACTGTATAGTGTAATGTCATAAATATTGATGGGGAAAAGAAGATATTAAAATGCAGTGGAAGATCCAGGGAGCATAGAGCTGGGGTGAAGATCATCATATTTTAAAATAAAATTAGAATAACGCATATCAATACCACTGAGTATTTTATACATCTTTTTTAAAGGGCCTTTTTATCAATGAAGAAAAGTGGCTTTATAAAAGAGAAATCATTACAGTATTTGTTTAAATGTTTCAGAAATCTAAAAGAATTTCCTGTGAGTTATTCCTCTGATGGGTCTATTAGTATATCTGACTCTGTATTGGTCCAGGTCTCTGGAGATGAGGAGTCTAAATCTGTCTTAGTATCATGGTCTCATCAGGTTAGTATATGTAAGGTTTCCTCTGACGGGTCTATTAGTATATCTGACTCTGTATTGGCCCAGGTCTCGGGAGATGAAGAGTCTAAATCTGTCTTAGTATCATGGTCTCATCAGGTTAGTATATATAAGGTTTCCTCTGATGGGTCTATTAGTATATCTGACTCTGTATTGGCCCAGGTCTCGGGAGATGAAGAGTCTAAATCTGTCTTAGTATCATGGTCTCATCAGGTTAGTATATGTAAGGTTTCCTCTGACAGGTCTATTAGTATATCTGACTCTGTATTGGTCCAGGTCCCTGGAGATGAGGAGTCTAAATCTGTCTTAGTATCATGGTCACATCAGGTTAGTATATATAAGGTTTCCTCTGACGGGTCTATTAGTATATCTGACTCTGTATTGGTCCAGGTCTCTGGAGATGAGGATTCTAAATCTGTCTTAGTATCATGGTCTCATCAGGTTAGTATATATAAGGTTTCCTCTGATGGGTCTATTAGTATATCTGACTCTGTATTGGTCCAGGTCTCTGGAGATGAGGAGTCTAAATCTGTCTTAGTATCATGGTCTCATCAGGTTAGTATATGTAAGGTTTCCTCTGACAGGTCTATTAGTATATCTGACTCTGTATTGGTCCAGGTTTCTGGAGATGAGGAGTCTAAATCTGTCTTAGTATCATGGTCTCATCAGGTTAGTATAAGTAAGGTTTCCTCTGACGGGTCTATTAGTATATCTGATTCTGTATTGGTCTAGGTCTCTGGAGATGAGGAGTCTTAATCTGTCTTAGTATCATGGTCACATCAGGTTAGTATATGTAAGGTTTCCTCTGACGGGTCTATTAGTATATCTGACTCTGTATTGGTCCAGGACTCTAGAGATGAGGAGTCTAAATCTGTCTTAGTATCATGGTCTCATCAGGTTAGTATATGTAAGGTTTCCTCTGACAGGTCTATTAGTATATCTGACTCTGTATTGGTCCAGGTTTCTGGAGATGAGGAGTCTAAATCTGTCTTAGTATCATGGTCTCATCAGGTTAGTATAAGTAAGGTTTCCTCTGACGGGTCTATTAGTATATCTGATTCTGTATTGGTCTAGGTCTCTGGAGATGAGGAGTCTAAATCTGTCTTAGTATCATGGTCACATCAGGTTAGTATATGTAAGGTTTCCTCTGACGGGTCTATTAGTATATCTGACTCTGTATTGGTCCAGGACTCAAGAGATGAGGAGTCTAAATCTGTCTTAGTATCATGGTCTCATCAGGTTGGTATATGTAAGGTCTCCTCTGACGGGTCTATTAGTATATCTGACTCTGTATTGGCCCAGGTCTCGGGAGATGAGGAGTCTAAATCTGTCTTAGTATCATGGTCACATCAGGTTAGTATATATAAGGTTTTCTCTGATGGGTCTATTAGTATATCTGATTCTGTATTGGTCCAGGTCTCTGGAGATGAGGAGTCTAAATCTGTCTTAGTATCATGGTCACATCAGGTTAGTATATATAAGGTTTCCTCTGATGGGTCTATTAGTATATCTGATTCTGTATTGGTCCAGGTCTCTGGAGATGAGGAGTCTAAATCTGTCTTAGTATCATGGTCACATCAGGTTAGTATATATAAGGTTTCCTCTGATGGGTCTATTAGTATATCTGATTCTGTATTGGCCCAGGTCTCGGGAGATGAGGAGTCTAAATCTGTCTTAGTATCATGGTCACATCAGGTTAGTATATATAAGGTTTCCTCTGACGGGTCTATTAGTATATCTGATTCTGTATTGGCCCAGGTCTCGGGAGATGAGGAGTCTAAATCTGTCCTAGTGTCATGGTCACATCAGGTTAGTATATTGTATATCTTAGGTCCAGGTCTCGGTAGATGAGGAGTCTAAATCTGTCCTAGTGTCATGGTCACATCAAGTAAGTATTATAAATCTTAGGTTTCAATTTTTCAACTCCATGCATCAAAAGATTTTGTCCAGCAATGCCTATGTTTCTCATTATTTTTTAATAACCTACCTATTACTATACAAATGTAATATCTTTTGAAATTCTTGTTATTTTTTAATTGGTTTTCCATCTTTTTTATCACTCAGATTTCATAAGTAAAAGGCAGAGGGATTTTTTTCGAGCCAAAATTAAAAATTTTCAAATGCTTTGTAATTTTATTGTTTTTTACAGTATACATGTACAATGGTATATATTATTTATGAAAAATGTAATTATTTGAAATGTCCAGAGTAAAATGCCTTGAAAGATAGCTTTTATATAATTGAATCCTCTAAACAGTTTAGTTTAGGGCTATTCCAGAAAAAAATGTATTGGGGATGGAAGGCAGTTTGTTTTAGCACCTGCCACCCAGACATTTGTAATTGAGAATCATATTGCATTATAGTGTTAAAAGTTGCTCTGATACCCATCACATACTGTGGATTCATTATTATTCGTTGGATACCAATTTTCGTGGATTTCGTGGGTACAGGTGAACCACGAAATTAAATGTTCAACGAATGACAAATTTTCTATAGGCTTGTATGCAGACTTCAGCAAAACCACGAAATTAAATATCCACGAACATGCAAGTTTTCCCTAATCCACGAAAATTGGTACCCACGAAAATAAATGAATCCACAGTATGTATTATTAATATAAAGTGACTTCTAACCCCTCCATACATTTTTTACTGGAATAGCCCTTAGTTTTAATGGATCAAATTTAAGTGGTAAGATATGTACCAATTATCAGGTTTTCTGCATATTGCTATTGTTAATTATCAGCTGCAAGTGATCACTATAGTAAGTTTTATGAGGTGTTAGTGCTGATATTTTTTGTAAAAGACTTCATACTGTATGGAGCAGCTGATATTTTACAATATTAATATGATGATAATCCAATAATCATTTTTTGTGATGGTATTCATGTGTTTTTAACAATAGAAACAGTACTTTTTCATTGTTTCGCCAGCAAATCAGAAGAGGGTCAAACTTATCAACATCAGGCAAAAGATGAAGATTAAGCCAATAAATCCGAGGGCAAGCTATTAAGGCCCGGGTCAAGCAAAATTGACATCACAAAGCCATGATATACGATTTTATGAAGAGCAAATATAAATAGAATACTTCATACTATACATTGAATTTTTATGAGGGTGTTTTTACACTTATAGGTAATGTGACAGTAGTAAAACTCAATACCCACAAAAACAATTACTACTTAAAAAGTACTTGCTGAAGTTATTTAGTGATATCTCGTAAACTTATTGTAAATTGAGTTTTCTGGATACTTTGCAGCTCTTAAGAATATGATTGATGTCACTGAAAATCAAAATACTGTAATTCAGAAATTATTGAGATGTTTATAATTTTGTGAAAAGTTGCTACTGGATACGTTTTGGAGAAAAATAAAACTTCCCTTTTAAACTTTGATAGCATTGCATCATTTCCTGAAAATTTAATGATTAAGGTGGTACCTAACACTACAGGGAGATAACTCTGTAAAAATCAACTTAATGTTTTAATCATGTTGTATTGTTAAGGAAATATTAAGCTTCTCAATGATCAAAATTAGTGTTTGTCAAACTGCTATATAACCAATGAAATTTTTCTGATAAAGTGGTTGGTTCAAATTATTTGAAATTTTTATATTTTTGTCAAAGGGTCAAAGTAAACATTATGTCAAAGTTTTATGAAAATTAAACGAGCCAAATTAATTTTAGTCAAGGTGTTGGGTACCACCTTAATCTCCCATTTGTGTTTATTGTTCAACAAACAATCATACTGCTAATGCATGCAATAATTTCTTAAGTTAGAATTTTCTGTTTCTAATTGACATCCTTTAATTAAAAGATTCCAAGTTAGACTTACACATTTTGTTATTTAAATGAAAGAGCTTTCATGTTTAATTATTGCAGGATGAAGATGTTGGTAGCTTTCTTCTAAAGTTGTTGAAGGAACAGCTAGACACCTGAGATGATGGTATCTTCATCAGCTGTTGTAGAGTTGCATCATATCTTTAAATAGTATTCTGCAGATAGTAGGAGTTTCCTGCTGGGAGTATTGTAGACTAAAGATTGTGTTTGTGAAAGAGGCCATGTGATGGGCCATACACATTTATAAATACTGATGGTATATTTTGTGTATAAAGTATGGCACATATATAAGTGTGGTGTAATGACAGTGACAATGTTTATCTATGTGTAATTGAACAAAGGTTCCTTGATATTAAAGAGAAAGCTCTATAAAGTCTGAAAAATGTATCTAAATTGCCATGTTAACTGTATATTGATCTTAGTTATTTTACTCCATATAGGGTTCTGCCTAATAATGGCTGCCAGCATAAACAAGATTGCATCTTCAAAAGTGAACTAGAGCATATCATATCTGTTATGCAAAAAACCTTGTATATAAGGCTGTAAGAACTTAATTTGTTCTGTTTAGTTGGATAAGCCATAAATTTAAATTTTAAGTATCTGAAAATATATGTCATGTTTTGTCCTGATGCAATCCCGTTGGTTGTCAGCTGAATATGATATATTCACTTTATCAATAGTTAGATATCTACGATATTTAAGATTGATAAGGAATATCAAATAGAGCACCAAAAAAGTCAAAATCTATGGATTTCAAGACAGTTGAATGTAGGGTATTGTCCTAAAGGCTTTCCCAACATGCATTTTGCCAGAAATGTCAATCATGAAAATGCATGGTATATTAGCTTAACTGTATTTGAAAAATAAATTGGTGATGCAAAGGCTTTGTCCTATCTAAAATATCTCCAGTTTGTCTGAAATATCTCCAGTTTTGTCTGAAATATCTGCAATTTTGTCTGAAATATATCCAGTTTTGCCCGATTACTGATCACAATAAACATATTTTGGACACTGTTAAGCTGCTTGACATAGTAGTACATAGATATCAGGATTCTTCTACAGTGTTTATATAGATATAAGAAGATGTGGTATGAGTGCCAATGAGAGAACTCTCCATCCAAGTCAAAATTTATAAAAGTAAACCATTATAGGTCACAGTACGGTCTTCAACACAGTGCCTTGGCTCACACCCAACAGTAAGCTATGAAGGGCCCCAAAAATTACTAGTGTAAAACCATTCAAACAGGAAAACCAACGGTCTAATCTATAAAAAAAACGAGAAACGAGAAACACTTATGAATCACATCAACAAACGACAACTACAGAACATCAGATTCCTGACTTAGGACAGGTGCAAACAAATGCAGCGGGTTTAAACGTTTTAATGGTACCAAACCTTCACCCTTTTCTGAAACAATAGTGTCACATCACAACATAGAAATACACACTATAAAATATCAACTGAAATAGCTTAACTCAATCAAAGGACATATTAACACCACTGAACATACACTGAACAAATAAATTTGACCTATGATACAATGTAAATACAAAATAAATAAACTAAGGGAAGAATAATAAAAGTAACATGTTATATCGGTATGAAATGTTAAACAATTAAAGAAAAACAATATGCTCGAACAAAAATATCAGCAATTTGCTATAACTTTAAACACAGGTAAATGAAAATAATTTTGTTGTTAGGTATACGTGTACAGACTGTCAGTTCCAATAGAGAAAGGAAATATTTTTACAAAATAAATAATTTTGATGTTCATAGTACGAAGTGAAAATTTATAGTAATACCAAACACTTATCAAAGCTGGTACGTAAACCAGATATAACCGAGAATAACATTAAATAACAAAAAAGCAATACAATTAGTATCAACAGGTCAAATAAACAAGAAAGTATGATTTGAGAGTACTCGCAGTTACTGACAGCTAGTTAAAAGACAAAACAACTAATAATAAAAAATCATGCATCAGAGACTAAAATCAACTTAAACACATCTTAGGGATTTAGTATTTTAACGTCATGGACAGTCAAAGAAGACATGACTAGTGCAATGCCAAAAATAAATGTATCGACAGACAGTAGGATAGTTAGTTTAACCTCTTTATAGATCAAAACGAACGTGGGTGTGTCTTTATACATCCCGTTTGAAAAGAATACAGATTTAGTTAAGTTTTAATTTGCTGATGACAAAGTCAATATTAGTGCCAATGTAAACTATATTCAAAGATCTAATTACAACATTGGTAAGATAACCTTTACTAATAAGTTTGTTTAAAGGTTCGATGAGTTTACACGGATCACATAGTGATTTCCGCGCTTTAAGTACAATATATAATGTAAAATTTAGGATGTGAAATACCGTTTTAATCAGTTTTCTTCAAGTAGTTAAATTTACTAATCAAATCTTTGTATCTATGAAAGAACTTAGCAATAGTTTTACGTAATTTATGGTAACGAAATCCCTGACTTAATAATTTACCAGTGATGCATTGATTACGTTCGTTAAAATCTATGACATCACTACACACAGGGGCATAACGAACGAGTTGGAATATATAAACACCATATGATGGAGCCAAAGGAACATCGCCGTCTAAAAAAGGAAAATTAACAATAGGGAATGAAAAATCGTCTCTTTTGTCGTAAATTTTAGTATGGAGTTTTCCTTTAGAGATTGAAATGTCCAAATCCAGAAAAGGACAACTACTGCTGTTTATGTTAGATTTAGTTAAAGTAAGTTCTATTGGGTAAACGTCGGTAGTATATTTAGAGAACTCTGGGTTATTTAACGAAAAAATATCATCTAGATAACGGAAGGTATTGTTGAATGTATCAACCAAATGTAACAATGACGTGTCTTTACTGAGTTTGGTCATAAACTGAGATTCATAGCAATACAGGAATAAATCTGCTATTAATGGGGCGCAGTTAGTGCCCATAGGAATACCTACTACTTTTCGATACACTTTATCGCCGAAACGTACATATATGTTGTTCATATATGCCTGGATTTGGGCTTCATACCACTCCTTAACATTTTATCTAAGACTTGTGAGGAAACCAGTCTTATACTTCTATTAAATTTGCTTTGACTGAGGCAAGTTGTATTTGCTATTGTTTGAATAGAAACATAAATAACACGATCTTTATGTTTATTCTATATATTCTAAGAAAAAACAAACTTGGCCACAATCACAATGCCTTATGTTCTCAAGTTTCCATCTGGCATATTTCTGCTGAAGATTAATCAATCTTTACCTCATTTTCATAATTCAGCAACTGTTAAAAAACAATATCTTTTTATGCCCCCATGTTGAGGGGCATATTAATTTACAGCCTCTGTCCGTCCATCCATTCTTCGTCGTCCGGATATAGAAACAAGATTTGTCCAGCTATCTTCGCTTACAGTTTTTGAGCTACAGCTATAATATTTTATAGGATATTTCTACACAAAATAGAGGTGTGCATGTTCACTGGATTTCGTTTTTTTCCAAATATTCTCAAAATGCCAGGTATTTGGGCTTGGTCATTTTTTTGGTACTAGCTGCATAAAGAGATCAATGGTTGTTCGGCTATCTCCTCCTACAGTTTTTGAGCTACAGTTTTAATATTTTGTAGGTTGTTTGTACACATAATGGAAGTGTGCATGTCGGCAGGATTTTGATTTTTTTCAAATGTTCTCAAAATGCCAGGTATTTGGTCATTTTTTTTTACTAAAGTCAGAAAGGGGGATGTTAGATATTCACAAAAAACTGGTAGTTGGACTTCATTTTCATTCCAATTGCTACATAATTAAAAACATGGTTTGCACTACTACAGTTTAATGTCCCTAATGCCATTAATAAGATTTTTTAGTATTATCAAATGTTTATAATCAATACGGGGAAGTCGAATTTGGTGACCACAGGAAATAGAAAGCTGAACTTAGTGGCTTCTAAAACTGGAAAGTTGAAACCTTTTGGCTGGACATTCAGTCCTGCAAGTGCAGACATTCAGAATAAAGATAAAAGATAGATCATCATACATAGTGTTAAAATTAAAATTTCTTATGGTCAGGCGCGGGCAACATTTGTGTCTTGCAGACCGCAACAATTTCAAGTTGTACTTCAACATCACTGTTTGTCAAATCTAAAGTATGTGGAACTATACCCATGCATTTGGCAGAGCAGAGGGTGGCATCGTCCATATCTAGTTTGTTATGTGAATTTCTCACTAATAACGAGTAATTGAATAATTCTTTTGGTATATGGCATCCTTCCAAGCTCTCCATGTCATGGATCAGTAGTCAAGGTAAAAGTTGCATGATCAGGTCTGTTTCTCCGATAATATAAGCAATATGTCAAACAATCTATTTGTTGCATTGAATGATTGTAAGGTATACATATCCGACTGGCAGATTTCATCTGACCTAGACGCCATTTTCAGGGTTCATTGGTCTATGTTAAGTTTGTTGTGGTCAAGTCTGTAAGTCAGATACAATAAGCACTAGGTGAACTATGACATTTAGCATATTGAATGATTCTAAGGTGTATGCAACCATCTGGCAGATTTCATCTGACCTTCACCTTATTTTCCTGTTTCACTGATCAATGTTAAGTTTTTGTGGTTTTAAAAAGGAGTAAAATAACTTTTAAGATAAAATTAAAACATTTAGTATTTGGATATAAAATATATTTTGGCTTTAACTACTTTTTAACAATTGTTAGTTTTTCAATTTACAAAGCGTATTACATATCTGATCAAAAGACAAAAAATGTTAATGTTTTTTCTCATTTTTCATTAATGAATTCAATAGAAGAGTAAGTGTGACAATTCAAAATAATATTTTAGTAATCATTAGAAAACATTTGAAAAATCATTATGAGTGATATTATTGAATATATATTTGATGTAATATGAATTCAACAACTAAGTACTGACCAGAATAATCAGTGGAATGTAACAGGAAACATCAGGAGGAGCTTGGACTTCTGAAGGATATTGTAACAAGCCAGTAATTGAAATAAATATTTAATTATGTTGTTAAAAAAAGTTTTTGTGGTTTGGTCTGTTTTTCAGATACAATAAGCAGTAGGTCAACTATATTTGGTGTATGAAATGTTTGGAAGCAAGGAAGCTATTAAACCAAGAGTTCCAAGTGGTGAAGTACACAAGCAATGCCAAAAAATTGTTTTTATTCATTAAGAAGAACGAATTGAACACCTATTTGAAATATTGAAGTTTAATGTCAAGTGGCAAATATTACATATCAGGATTAGAAAATGTTTATATGATATGTTAATGAAACCTGCTTTGAACTAGAACCACAGACCGCTAGTTCATTAGGTAACAGTCAGTAGGAAGATCTGTCACTCTTCCTAGACAG